TTAACACATTAAAGGCGGGAGTCGTATTACTACGATTTATCTCGACTTCTCATAAATATGTACTTTAAAACATTTTTTGTAATTAGTGTTTAGTTCTTTTTGAATATTTCTTTTAGTTTTAAGAGTTTAAATAATCTTTTTTAAGTCTAAATTTTTTTACGATTACACAAAATATCGCCCGTTCTAGGACGAAAAACGAGGCGGGGCGGTCGCCGCGTTACCTAGCATACTTCCGTCAAGATCCCCCGCCTTTAATGTGTTAAACGCGACTTACGACAGCGAGTTTCATGCGTACGAAATCGAGTCTCGCGGTTCGTACGACGGTCACGGTTCTAGCAGTTTTTTTTCGAAGCGCGTATAAACAAATTTGAGTCACCGGTCGAGAGCAAAGGATTAACGCCGTTTCGCCGAATCAGGAGCCGCCGCTGAGCCGCCGCCGACCGCGCGCGTGCCGGTCGCTGACTTTACGATTTTATTATTTATCGGGCCCGTGTGCCGGGGCTCTCCCACTCGATCTCCACGGTACGGTCGTTCGACTTTTCTCCGTCGAAGGACAAGCCTGCGAACGAGCCAGGCCCGTGCAAAAGTGAACGGGCCGTGTCAAACTCGATAACGAAAGGTAGCGCGAGTAGCTGAACAAAAGGCAGCCGTTTCTGGATGAACGAGCGAGCACGACACGACCCGACGTGCGTTCCGCGCGCCACCCGAGTCGGGTGACCCGACAGATTCAACCCCGATAATTAAGCGAAACCAGATTTTATTGCCTCTCAAAATGCAGGTTCAGTCTCCCCCGGGTCACGGGGTCACCGATATTTTCAATTTTCGGGGGATCGATCGAGTTTCTGCGCGCAAATAAACAGCGAACAGCTCGTTCGAAGCGAAGCGTACGAAACGCAGCTATTAAATAGGCGATTAATTAAATGTTACACGGCGAGCGGGTGTGCCTCGGTACGCCGCGCCACGCCTCGCCTCGCCTCGCCGCGTCGCGCGTCGGCTCGCTCCCGATCTCGTTGCCCATTCGGTTAATTACCGCACCGCGCCCGCGTCCGCCTCCCCGAGACGTTGTTTGTAGGACATCCTTAAATGTAGCCGCGGACTTGCCCTCACGATGCTCCCCGGGAAGGCCATTACGACGACAATGGCTTGCCATGGGTAGTAGCGCGACCAGCAATTTAATTATCATTTTAGGCGGCGCGGAAAGCAATTATCGGAAATTCAGTTTGCAATGGCCAATGGAGCCTCGATCCAGACTAACGGGGACCGCTGCTACGTCTGTGCACCTGCGAAAGACCGAGCTCATTAGGAAGCACTTTTCTCGACGATTATGCCGCGCTCTAAGTGGTGCACTTTGGGCACGCGTGCATCGCGCATCGTGCATCGTGCACCCGTCGTCGCCGCACCGTACCGCGTCGCTCGGCTCGATAAATAGCAGATTCCTGACGGCGACCGTAAATAATATTTCCGGCGTCGATCGACGTTGCCCGGAATCGCGAGCAATTTTCGACGTCCCGAAGAAATATCGCCTCGAGCTCGTCGACGGCGATACGGCAGGCGGTTGCTTCCTCGAAGAGAATAACTAATTAACAAAAACTGCTTCGTCGGACCTTGAATATCAATGTCCGCGTACAAATCGGCGAGCGTCGAAGCGGTCGAACGTCGAGACAAGGCTGTGCATACATTTTTACCGCGCGTATCGGGGTCTAAGATCGTCGTTCGAACGTCGTCGCAACTCGCAACGCGAGTCGGCGAGTTCGTCCGTGTCCAGGCGAGAAGCATGCTTCGTTCGGAGATGCAAAGATTCGTTCGGGCGACTCTAGAAATCCGAGCACCCGAGTCAAAATCTGTTGTTCGACGCTTCTGAAAAAACGATTCGGCGATTCGTTTGGATTCGTTCGGGCAAAGCGGCGTGTTCGCGTTCCTCGGTAACTTCGATCCGGCGCGATCTCGTCGACGCGTACACCGTTGCAGACGGTTGGGGGGATCTCTGTATTCGCGACGGTGCATTTGGAAGAGTTGCTGGCGACGCGACGCCATTACGATACGACATTATCGCGGCGCAGAAAATTGTAAACTGGGAACGGTAATACGTCGGGATGACGAAGTTCAAAGACGCGATCTCTGGTA